CTCAAACTCATTCTGTTACCATGGAGATCCAATCAGGCTTAAACTCAGTCAGTTACCATGGTGATCCGTACATGTGGGGTGTGGCAAGATGGCGCCAGTGTGTTTGGAGAGTCGTCTACCGCTCTCTGTTTTTATGTTTTTATTGTTGTTTCTGTGCTGTTTTTCTGATGTGAACTCTCTACTGGTGTATGATTGCCAAACCCTTTTGGGGCTTCGTCTGCCTACTACAAAAGTTTTATATCACTGTCATGAAAAGCACGATGCTTTGCCCCCGCTGTTGGCTGGAGTTCCACGTTACCCGTGTCTGGCACCACACGCTCCTCGCTGGAGACGGCGTCACTGGCGTCGAGGTAAACGCGGCGGGCTCTTGGTGAAGCTGAGGACTGGTTTGGCAAAATCGCAAAGAATCTTCCTCTTCCAGCTTGGATCAGTCCCTGGACTGTATGCTTCTCGGCGCTCCTTGGACCCTGTTGATTCCTGGCTGGTACCCGTTATCGACTCGGATCAACGCTTCTTTCCTCCACATCTCATTCCTACCACATCTGTGCTGGCGAGGTGCCAACCTCGGAAATCTGCGACACCTTGCATGGATTACTCCTTCTTCTGCTTCGTCGGACCCAGTTCCCATCAGGATAGGTCCGATAAACGCAAGATCTGTTACAAACAAAACTTTTATCCTAAAGGATTTTTATTCGTCCCAGGGTTTGGGCTTTCTCTGCATGACTGAGACTTGGATTTCTCCAGGTGAGTCCAATGTTTTTTCAGAACTATTACCCCAAGGTTGCTCATATTTTAATACTCCAAGGTCCTTGGGTTGTGGAGGAGGTTTGGCGATTATTTATAAATCAAGTTTTGACTGTAAGCAGCTGTCCATCCTGACTGCGTTTTCTACCTTTGAACTGAGCATGTCTGAGTTGGGCTGCGCTCCTCCGCTTCTGTGCGCCGTCATCTACCGGCCTCCTAAGTATAATAAGGACTTCATACGGGACTTTTCTGATTTCTTGGGTGATTTTACGTCCAAATAGGAGCAAATTTTAATTCTTGGAGATTTTAATATTCACATGTGTTGCACTAGAAAGCCGCTGGTGAAGGATTTCTTAGATGTAGTGGATGCTTTTGGCCTCACTCAGTCAGTGAAGGGCCCAACCCATGAACGTACACACACCCTGGACCTTGTTTTATCTTATGGTTTATCTATTTTTAACTTGGAAATTGGTGATGCATTGTTTTCAGACCACATGCCTGTTTTATTTGATTTTATTCCTGTTTCTAAGCCTGTTAAGTCCTGTGCTCCTGCTCGACGCTGCCGTGTTTTTAACTCATCCTCTGCTGCCCATTTCTCCACTGCCTTTAATCGTTTAGAGTCACAGCTCTCTGTGTCTCTCAGCACTGAGGAGCTTTCCTTATATTTTGATTCTTTATGCAATACTGTATTGAATGATGTGGCCCCGATTAAAACCAGGTGATCAAAGCCAAGATCAGACCCATGGTTGAGCGACCATACCCGTGCCATTAGACAGGAATGCAGGAGAAATTAACGCAAGTGGCAAAAGGACAGACTCAAAGTCTCTTTTGATATACTGAGAGAGAGTTGGCGTCGCTATCAACGAGCTGTGAAAACAGCCAGAGTAAAATATTTCTCTGACATTATTGCTGCTAACTCTCACAACCACCGTGTTCTTTATAATACAATCAACACTGTCCTCAATGCACATGAACCGGTCCCTCTTGAAGCATCCAGAGAACTTTGTGATGTTTCTTCATTTCTTTTTGGACAAGGTTATTAACAGTAGGGCTTGTATCTCTTTTCCATCCCTTGATCCTTCCATCCCGATCCCCTGTCCTGCTGTTTTTGATCAGTTGGAGCCTATTTCCCTCTCCTATCTAGAGAAACTGGTCACCAGTATGAAATCATCGGGTTCTCCCCTTGATGTTGTTCCTCCATATTTTCTTAAGGAGGTATTTTCTACTGTTGGCTCCTTTATCTTAAATGTGATCAACAGCAGTTTGATGTCTAGTGTGGTACCAAGCAATTTTAGACATGCTGTGGTGCAGCCATTATTGAAAAAACTTGGCCTTGATCCATCATCTTTGTCAAACTTTAGGCCAATCTCAAAGTTACCCTTTATATCCAAAATTTTGGAAAAAGTTGTTTACACGCAGCTGAAGGCATTTTTGGATGAATTTAAAATTTTGGAGGTCTTCCAGTCTGGTTTTAAAATGTACCACAGCACTGAATCTGCTCTTTTAAGGGTTTTTAATGACATATTTTGAGCACTGAATTCTGGAAACTGTGTTTTACTTGTGCTTTTAGATTTAACAGCTGCTTTTGACAAGGTTGACCATGACATTCTCATCTCCAGACTGGAGCAGTGGGTGGGCATCACTGGCTCAGCTCTGCAGTGGTTTAGGTCCTACCTTTCTGATAGAAGTTTCAGTGTGATGATGGATAATTTTACCTCTGCTTCTGCTGCCCTCCCCTGGGGGGTACCCCAGGGCTCTATTCTTGGTCCTCTCTTGTTTTCTCTTTACCTTCTGCCACTGGGTTCTATTTTCAGAAAGCATGGTGTGCAGTTTCATTTATATGCAGATGACTGTCAAGTCTATTTCCCTTTGAAACAAAATGGATCCACTCAGTCTCTCCTGGACTGTCTTGATGACACTAGAGGATGGATGGCACGTAATTTCCTCCATTTTAATGAAAAAACACTAAGGTTATGGTCTTTAAATCCTGTGGCCCTAGGAGTTTCTCCACCTTGGATTTTTCCTCTTTGGCCCCATATGAAAAATTCATTTTGACAAATTTAGGAGTGAAAATGGACCCCTGCCTGAAACTTGACTGCCATGTCAACAATGTGGTCAAGTCCTCTTTTTTTCAGCAGAGGCGCCTGTCAAAAATCAAGCCCCTCCTTTCTAGACACCACTTAGAGACAGTAATCCACTCTTTTATTACTTCATGCTTGGATTATTGTAACTCTCTGTTGATATGAGTTAGCCAGGCCTTGCTCTCACAGTTACCGCTGGTACAAAATGCTGCTGCACGATTTTTGACAGGTACAGGCAGGCGTGAGCACATCACTCCAGTTCTGATGTCCCTTCACTGGTTTCCTGTCCAGTTTCGAATTCATTTTAAAGTTCTATTGTTTGTTTTTAAGTCTTTGAACGGTCTTAGTCCCTCTTATTGTCACGATCCTCAGTGTTGGAACCCAATTGCAGAGAGGCGAGCGAGGCAGGAGTTCAAAAACAAAAACAATTTATTTTTAAATAACAAAACAAAAGGCTGTCGGTGCAGCAAAACTTACTTGGGCAGACAGGATCAGAAACAAGGCAGAGCAGATCATCAGGGGGGACAAAAAACAGACAAGACAGAAGAGGACTGAGATGTCTGTGAACACAGAACAATCCCCGGACAAAAAGTGAAGGAGAGACAGGCTTTTTATGAGACAGAGGAAGAGTGAGTAACGAGAGCACCTGGGCAGGTGGCTGATGAGGGACAGGTGTGAATGATAAAGATTGAGTGGAGAGGCAGACTGAGGAGTGAGTGGAAAATAACAGAATCAGATAAACAGAAAATCACACACAGAGCAGAACAACAAAAACATAAAGAGCAGACAGAGACAGAACCAGTCAAACAGAACTCAGAATGTAATTAAAGTGACACATTTACAAATCACCTTGAAAAGGAAGGAAATGATTTAGTTTGTGGGATAACAGGACCAGATACACAAAAGCAGAAGACACACAAGGAGCAGAGGCTTAGGCAGATGGGGGGGGCAGCGGGGACCGCTGACCGTGACACTTATTTGTGTGACCTGCTTCACTTTTACATACATCACGTGCTCTTAGATCCTCTGACCAGATGCTTTTAGCAGTCCCAATAACCTTTTATAAATTCAGAGGAGACAGAGCCTTTTCAGCTCTGGCTCCTAAATTGTGGAATGAGCTGCCACTGGAGGTCAGGCAGGCCCCGTCACTTTCTGATTTTAAAACTTGTTTAAAAACACTTTTTTTTTCATTGGCTTTTAACCTAGACTGAGTCAGCATCTGTGTCTTAATGTTGTATTCTTTTACTTATGATGTTCTGATTATTTTTTTAATATATATTTAGGTGTTTTTATTGTTTTACCGTTTTTTGTTTGTTTTTAATTTTGTACAGCACTTCGGACGGCTGCTTGTTGTATTTTAAGTGCTTTAGAAATATATTGGTATGGTATGGTATGGTATGGTATCCAACCAGGCCCAAACTCAGTCTGTTACCATAGTGATCCAACAAAGCTCAAATTCATTCTGTTACCATGGTGATCCAACCAGACCCACGCCCACCCAGTCTGTTACCATGGTGATCCAACCAGGCTTAAACT